GAGAGGTAAGGAGATTTAATAAAGAGCAACTACAAAGAGAGATAGAGATAGAGAGAGAACGATAGAGAGAGAGATAGGGAGAGATGGAGATAGAGAGATGGAGATAGAGAGATGGAGATAGAGAAATGGAGATAGAGAGATGGAGATAGAGAGATAGAGAGAGTAGAGATGGAGATAGAGAGATAGAGATAGGGAGATGGAGATAGAGAGATAGAGAGATAGAGAGAGAGAGAGAGAGAAAGAGAGAGGAGTGGGGAAATAATAAAGAGACAATGAAATAGAAATAGAGTTCAAGAACAAATTGGCTTAAGAAGAGGAGTAGGACACACAGAGAAAAAGGAAAGATACACTGTACTTACAACTATCTACAAACCAACAAGGCAACAGAGACATACAAAAATATGGAGATGCGGGAGATAGAAAGAGAGAAAGGGATAGAGAAAGAGAGAGGAGAAAATGCACAAATCTAGAGGTACATTTACATGTACACGTGCGTGGGCGAAGGCATAGACAGCCCCTGTGTGTGTATGCCAGTGTGTGTGTATGAATGATGAATGGGGGTGTGGGTAGTATCCAAGTGTGTTTGTGCAGGCATACAAAAATTGCTTTCAGAGGCTAGCTAGCTAGGTGGTTGGTGTATGCACTGCATGCATAGGGCTTGCTTGGTACAAGGAAAAGGTTTGAGGGAGAGATAGAGAAGGAAATAAGAACGTTGAGTTGCATGGTGTATCGTACACAGGAAAAATGATACTTTTGTGTACTGTACGACATGTACGTTGCATGGGCAGAGAGTCTATATCAATGCACCAAGTCGATTGTAAATTGAGTTTTGTGGATTCTATCCAATGTTTGAACTAAGGGATGAGTTTACGGCAGCTAAATTTCATCTTTTTCTGGTGTCATCCGAAAGCTAGACACTCATCTTGGCAGACTAAGAGCCAAAATGGAAACTGGTTCCTTTTTCTCAATATTGAAAAATATAAATCAAGCAAATGATTAAAAATCAATGTATCTCAAATGTGTGATTACATACCTTATTATTAATGATATTACGTATGAATCCACAAAAAGAAAAAGGAGAAAGAAGAACACCATATCCAGATGAAATTAAAATTTCCAACTTGCTTTGTGAAGATCGACTTACCGTTACTTAACTTACTTACATACATACTTAAAACGTCCATCCTAATAATTTTATCCTTACATCTCAATACAAACTATGGGCATACGTATAAAATCAACTTGAACATCAGAAGATAAGTGCAAAATACAAAATATAATTTCAGTGTAAATTGACTATAAACCTTTCATGCACGACCCTAACAATTAAATGATTTTTTTTGTCATAATAACAATTCATTTGTGTCCATTTTGACGTTTATCTCAAGAATGTGAGAAAGAATGGAAAAAGACAGATAATGTATAAAGTAAATGCTTTTAGCACCATCGTCGGTAGATTTAGAAAGAAAAAAAAGACCCTGTGACTTGCAATACAAGAAGTATAGGAGTCAATGAAGATGCATTTTCACCACATAACAAAAATATTGAGTAGTTTCTCCACACAATGTACATGTTTGTATGACACTTGTTCACTGCTCTGCGTCAATTACCTACACTAACCAAATTTGGACCAACGCTACACATAACTCTAAGCCTACCTTAATACCCAATTACAACCCAAACCCTACCCCAATATCACAAAATAAAGCTAGCCCACAAAGTTGTGGCATTAGTTAACGTTGTGTCACCAGGCAATACACCACGCAATCCTGATGGTGTCACTTCACTCTGTGTATTGCATCATAGCTTAATAGCAATTTCGCAAAAATGGGGTAATTATTGGGGATGATCACGAACATTTCAATGTTCTGATAAGGGTGATTCTTTTGTATCAAGGAGTAAAAGATTTTTTTATTAAAAAGGGGCATGTATTTGGAAAAAGGAATCTGTGACTTGTTTTACATGAGGAGATTTTGTGAATTTGTACTCGATAAGCCCAAAATGAGGTTATATTTACAGTGTGTCCCTGTCTTTAGGTAAAGGTCTTTTTTATTTTGTTGAAAATGTTCTTGACAGTCCAAAAACAGGAGGTCATTTTGGGCTCCACCAACAATCATGTGTTCCCACTTTGAATTTGAAGTGACACCATTGGTTATGTACTATGTTCATATCTTGTTAAGACAGCAGAGTGTCTTTCACAAGCCTGAAGGTCATAGATGTCAATAAACGCCCACAGAAATAAGACCCCAATTTACAAATGGCTCATAATGATTCAAATGATGATGTCTTTATCATGGAGGATATATATAGATAGCCATCGTCTTTTAAACTGCCACATAAACATATTTTGTCTTCATTTTCATCTAAAATTCATAGCTAACAAGGAATATGTATTCAATGTATGATGTATTTGTTCTTTTAAATGATCATGAAATGAAGGTGAATTGTTTAATCAATGTGATTACAAATAAAAGGAAAAAGGGTCTTTCCCGGAATTTTTTTTCACATGTTCAAGAACACTAAGGTCCGAATTCACAAAGGAGGTTTGTCGACATACCTTGGATTTCGTACGTCATATGACGCATTTTACTCGTTTTTTACAAACCTGGTTTGTAAAGAACAAAAGGAGGTTTGGCGAAACAAATGGAGGTTTGAGCTCCAACCTTGCTTTGTGAATTCGGGCCTAAATGTTCATTTTCAACAAGAATTATGAATTAGTTCACATAAGAAAGTCTTGATGAACAAAATAATGCTAACGTTACAAAAATAATCATAACTAGAGGACTGATATTAAAGGAATTACACATCCATATAATTTTCCTTCACATCAGCTTTTTGACTGATTTTTTTATTTTTCCACATGTAAGGTATTGAGTTTTCCCTTAGTGTCATCCTAAATATTGAGAGGCTGAGCAAGAAATTCTCACACTTATTTCATCCGGACTAATCATGCAAAATGGCTTACATCGGTATTTACTGTCTGGAAAGTTTAAAGTTGATTTTGCATCAAAAGTTATCAAACCTTAGAGTTACCCCATTCCCTTCCCTAAAAAAAATCCTAAAACAACTCTGGACCCCACACTACTCCTGAATAACCTTGACCCTAAACCTACTTATTACCACCAAAGCAAATATCAGAAAACCTAGTGTATACTCTACATTGTAGGTAGCTTCAATATTCAATCAAGAAAAAGAGACATAAAACACAATAGAATATTGAAATCCATTAAATCATGAGCAATCCAGAACTGGTAATTGTATTTGCAAGCAATTCACATTAGTGATTTCAATATGTAAAAAAAAAATTCTGGTCAACAAGGCAGTAATTGAGAGTGACTCAGTCATTTATCATCCAGCTTTATTGATGGCCATTCATTAATCATACTGGACTCAGGGCAAATATACCAGCACTAAACAAGGCCAGGGATTACATAGGAATGCATCTACGTTGACATGCGTCACATATCTTGGCTCATTAGCTGAAAAACATGCAGATATTTGTGTGTGTGGGCACGCCACATGCCAAATTTGACCAAATTAAAGATGCTTGTTTGGTGGTGCATACCAGCTGGGGAATGCTGATTTACAATGAAGAGATGCATGCTCATTTTTTGATTTCAAAGTGAAATTTGTTTCTCATTTCCAATGAATATTATTCCTTTGACGTACTCCGGTAACCCATTTAGTGCCACTTTGTTTACAAATCGCCAGCATTATTTTGAACCGACAAATTTGTACAATAGTACATGATGGATTCGTCTCTTCAAAATAACGGCGATGAATTATGAAGGAAAAAAATAACATTTCATGAGACAAGGTTTTATAACTGGGACTCTTTCAAATTTTTACTGTCCATTTCTGATACCTGAATTTTCGTATGAGTTCTAGTCATTTGAAAATTTCCACTAATACTATAGTCATTCTAACATTGTAGAGTACATATTCTAGTCATTCCAACATCTTTAGATATACGCATTGTAGACGTTTCAACACTCATATACATTCTAGCCATTTTAACATTTGAATGAATTCTAGCCATTTCTACATTCATTGAAAAAAAATTCAGATCAACCTACTACAGTCAACAGAAAAAACCCTTAAAGGTAATACAAAGTTTTGGTATAGGTTCATGAATTTGGTTCAAATGAACATATTGGAAGCATATGCGATCCTACAATATTTAGTGATCGTTGTCGCGGTTGAAATCGAGTCTATAGTTATGAAATTGTAAATAATAAACTCTTTATGTTGTATAGCTCCCTCTCAAGGTCAAGATATTGATTAAGCTATAAAACAATATTTCTTGACTAAAATCGACCAATTAGCTATTCCCGTTTGGAAATTATGTATCACAACTACATCTTCTGAGATTTTCATGGTCGCAGCTACCACTGTACGGCCATAGGCGCTTTTTGAAATTTATCAAAATTTACCGGGAGCACCAGTAAATGTTTATATTCAATTTTTCTCAAAAGCAGAAGTGTTTTAGAGGCTAAAATTTCTAGTGCTTATATTACATCCATAGGGGCATCCAAATATATCAAAATTGTAAAGAATCACTATCCACCCAATTTTCAAAATTTCCCAAGACTTTGTAATACCTTTAATACTCTGACAGCCTAATGTGCTACAAATCATGCAATCATTTTCATTGATCAATACTACATCAACTACACATGTAGATGTTTCGCGAAGTTAGGCATCGTGCAGTGGGGCGCACATAACGTCTTCACGTTGGGCTTTCAATTAAAATGACGCAATGGGAGGGATAATTGACTGAGGGATAATCAATAGACATGGCTATTACTGATGATTATTGCATGTGAAAACAGTAGTTGACTAGTATCTGAGAGTAGAGGCTCTCTAACGACTTGTCTACCCTTGATAGCCATTCTACATCCAAATTTGGAGTAGAAAATGATTTTGGGGGAGCATTAATTGCTGCTTGCGGCTTGGAAGGCTTGAAATAATATAGATGTTCAAACAAAAATTCTGCTTACCTGTAATTTCACTTTTGCTCCATCAATGTCAACCACTTTATTCTGCAATGGAGAGAGAAGAGGTAGGTAGAAATGTAAGTCAGTAGTCACATGATACAGAAATAATATGTCCTGCATTATATAACTTTTTTCAAGTAGCATTATACCCAATTTCAAGTAATCATAAACCAATACGATTAAATTCGATGTACAAACTGAAAAAACACAACCAATAGTTTTATCACTTCTAAAAAAAAAAAATGAGAGAACTTTTCAAATCTACACCAGCTATGACATCATACTTCGGATTCGATTACGAGGTAAACTGAACAGTAAATAAGTAACCACACATGCACATATTGAAATATTTATGTTTAATAAATATTACAAAATTAATTCAAGTTTAGAATCCACTCAAGCAAGGGAAGGGGGTGCCACAATCTGCAATCAAGTTGTTCTTAAACACGTTTCTACGCCCCCACGATCCTATTCCCCTCCCTGGCAAATCTGAACAATTTTTGTTTTCTTTGTCAGAGATTTTGGACACAAATCTTTGCTCAAACCCCTTCTTTTCATACTGTGCATAATCAGAATAAACTAGAAGCAATTAAAAGGATCGTCTGTGTGTACTGTACATTTTATAATATGTACACGTATTACTATTTTACAATCTACATGGCAACTTAGAAAGCCCAGTACGGCTCAAGATAATTACTCAAGGCCAACACTGGGCGTAAAATTAAAATCCATGCTATCGATCAATCTCTTTATTTACTCTCCAAACATTAATCATATCAAGCCCCTTGCTAGATTCTGGGCTGCATTGTTGACCAAGTCATCGACAAGTGTTCTCGTATAAGAGGGCGAGACAAATTGCTGTTTTCACTTAACGAGTATTGTTTGCTAGATGGGACAGGATGGCTCATTGCAGTCGCTTACCGGTAAACAAGGAAGGAGATCAAAGGAACCGGAGAGAGAGGGGGAGAGGGAGAGAGAGAGGGGGAGAGAGAGAGGGGGAGAGACGGGGAGAGATTGAAGAGAGGGGAAGGCAGGGGGAGAGATGGAGAGGAGGGGAGGAGGAGAGAGGAGGGAGAGGTAGAGAGATTGGAGAGAGGGGGAAGAGAAGGGAGGAGAGGAGGAGAGGAGGAGAGAAGGAGAGAAGGAGAGAGGAGAGAAGGAGAGAAGGAGAGAGAGAGAGAGAGAGAGAGAGAGAGAGAGAAACAGAGAGAGGTGCTGGCCTAAAGGTCACAGGCTAGTGAATCATTTTGAGTGGAAACTGGCAATGAAGTACGAGCGTTACAGCGTGTACAGTACTGTACATGCATAGAACAGCTGTTCTCCCCATTCTTATACCGGTACTTGCATTTACATGGAACACTCATGTCATTCTTTAGCTACGCCCGTCTCTTATCGAAGTAGTATCTACACTACACTTAAAACAGTCAGGTTTCGGGAAGCCCTAGAAGCTCTAAAGATGCCCTACGTCAGTAAGATAATAACATTTGAATGACCATGAATTTCAAAGAGTATAGTATAACTGGAGTGATTTATTCAATGGAATTGGGTCTACATGACATTTGGATATGGGGACAACTATTAAGGGCTGAATTTCTCTGACTCATTAATTACTATTGCATAAAATATTGCTTTTGCAATTTAGACTGGATTTCTTGTCATTATCTTTGATATAAAGCTTGATGTAAAGTTTTGTAACATATTGGTTGTGTTCCGATGCTTCTTTATGCTTCTCCAATCTACATGTAGGATTCCTCAGTATAAAACGACATCATTATGATATCTATTTAAAGTCTTATGAGGATAGTAACTGCAAGCATTAGGAGAAAAAGTAATAACTAAGTTGATTTAATGTCAAAATATATTGTAGCTACACAACATCACTAATGGATTTTACACCACCCCCACCCTAAATTAAAATGTGTGTGCCCCATGTCAAAAATTTAGAATTTTCTTGTCACAATTTCAAAGACTTAAACATGGTTCTTAAAAAACGTGATGAAGCTTTTTTTTGCTCCTCTGTCATATCTTTTGGATGCAAAGCACTTAGAGACATTATAGATGTATTAAGCACTATATAAAGCAGATTTATTATTATATTTGTAACCCCCTTTATCCTCCCTGCAGATGATAATGGATACGCCCTTGTGTATGCATGTACCTGTAAATTGCATTTTGGGATCACATGCAGGTACTGTCTGGGCAATCAATGTCATGCTCTAAATAGAGCAAGGCTGTACATGTGATTTGTGACGCTCTATGGAGGCAGACTCATTCATGCTTTGGGGCCCTTCATTACCAAAGGGGTTAAATAGATAAAGTACACCTGGAATGTAATTAGTGAATATTAAAGTGTATGATACATGTTTCATTAACAAAAAAACACTTATATGTGAGTACATTCACACCTGCTCCAGTGACTGCCTGTCTTTAAAGACCACCTGTCTATAAAGACCACATTTTTTGTTTACCTTGAAAATAGTTTCTCATTGAAACATGTAATAAAGGAACCTGTCTACAAAGACCACTTGGGCGGTCGCTATAGACAGGTTCGACTGTATATGCAAGTCAAAGCACAAATCATCAGACACACAGCAAACAACTTAGACAGGATTATAAAAACTGTCTACTATGGTGTTCATGTATAATTGATTGTGTTCTATTTGAAGAAACTCAATGCACTTGTACCTATTGACTCCATCAGTCAGTACCTGCATTATACAGTGGTACATACATGTACATCACAAAGAACAAAAACTGCATAAAGAAAAGGCAAAGATGAACCACTGAATTGAGAACTCGTATATCGAGGGTTCAGTGACACAAAGCCGTTATCATATTTTGCCAAAATGAGTATTTGATATCAAAATGTTCAGAAAAATGTGGGCTTTCCAGGAAACACAAAGACTTAACTCCACCCAACACCCCCTTGAAGTCAATAGCTAGTGAAACATAGACTTAACTCCTTAAGGCCCAAGTGCTCAGTGACACATAAACCACTTTTTTTCAAAATAGTCAAAATGGAGTTACGTCTTTGTGTCACTGACCCTCGATATCATCTACCAAGTATGATAAGGCCATTAGATGAATGTTATCAAGGAATCAACCTAAAGCCCTTCTGGTTCTCAGAACAAGCTTTTTTGATACTACATTCATATCTACTGAAGATCCCCTTGAAGATCCCATGAAGGTGATACACTTAACCCATTGTCAACAGGATCCAGGTTGTGCATGTATAAAGCCTATGATAATATGATCATTCAGTAGCCGATGAGTTAAAAGAGGATTCAAAGCATATTCAGACATCCCGATATGAAAATAATGTAAGAAAAAGCATGAGAGAAATGTAACACTACAATGTACATTATACAGTGAAACCTGTACATAAAGACAGCTCAAAAGAGACAAGAAGAGTGGTCTTTATGTGCAGGTGGTCTTTATGTACAGATTCTTTTGGTACATGTTCAATGAGAAACAATTTTTAAGGGAAATTAAATTTATAGGATTTACAGACAGGTGGTCTTTCTATACAGGCGGTTGCTAAAGCAGGTTTCACTGAATTGTGTAAATCCTCTTCGTACCCAACGTGGTAAAAATCACCAGGGCAAACCACTGCAATAGCAAGGGATAGTGTTGTGGTGTTAAAATAAAACAACGACAACTCTAGAACTGTAATCACACATAAACAAAAATTCATTAATTGACGCCTAACTTTGGCTTTCTTTGATAAAAAATTAAAGCAATTAGACAACTGCATATTTTCAAATGCACTAGCCAAATTTCAAGACAATGATCCATCGCAAAAAAAGCCAAAAGCGGTCTGCCGATTTTACGTTATAAATGAAACATAGTCAACTCCTGCTAAGAAATAGAAATACAGAATAAAATAATGTCTAAAACGCCTCGCTTCATGTACTTTCAAAATCCAGCTTTAAGATGCCCTGCGTTTGACCATTTCCATTGTGCATGCCAAATTTCAAGATAATTGACAATATGGAAAGGGGCAAAAAGAGATCAATGAATTGACGTCATAGCACACTGTGTAACAATTGGGGGTGAAAAACATAGAGAATCAGAATTGTGCCCTTAAGATTAAGAGTACCAGAAGGGCATTTGTTCTTAAAGATACATAGTAAAACCTTTGTGTTGCTAACGTCAAAGAGAAAAGTAGCTCAGATTACCTTTTTAAAAAAAATCCTGTTTTGAATAGGTATATCAAAATGACCAAACCAAATTCAAAATCACTCCCAAAAATGATTCTCCCATCTTTCGTACTTCTTGCCGCAGAATGTAGAAAACAAATATATTTTTGTAGGGCATTTACAAAATGAAAACAGTGATTTTTTTGGTTGAGGCTTTACTATTAAAATACATTTCCTTTAATATCAGGCTTATTTGTCATTTCAATTTCTACATGTAGGCTTACATCTAAAATGCAATTGCAAGAGTGAAGTATTTCATAGCACGTCTAGTACTGGTATATGAGAATTTGCTAGTATTTACGCAGAGCTATGAAACAGGGTTCTTTAAAAAGGAAAAGGAGAGAAACACGCCGTTGCTCACAGCAACGGAATATGATACAGCTGATAATTTCCACAGCTTTTCCTGTATCACACTTCTATTAAGGCCAAGGCTGTTCAGACATACTGTGCTTCACATAATGTCCACTTCCATTGAAGTCTGGACAGGGGTTTGTAAGACACACGTATGCTCTAGTGTGTGTGGAATGATATGTTTGAATTGAATCTGAAGTTTATCCAAAACTAAGGTATAATACTAGGCCTATTTCTAAAGCTAGACATTGATACATTGTCTTCAGCAAAGAGCACTGTCTCTACAATAAGAAAAATACTCAACCAATTTTGGCAAATATTGTTGAGTCTGGCTAAAAAAAAAGACAGATAATCATCCTTCCCATTTACCTTTTCAAATGATTTTATACCCTTAAATGATATACATAAAATGTAGGCCATTGGAACTTAGATGAATCTAACCACACCTTCTGGTAAATGCTCCCTTAATTAAAAATAGATTTAAAAGGACTTTGG